AACACCAGAGGTCTTATCTTGCTCCCATTAAACCACAAAACCTTTTTTCCAAGTGGTAACAAGAGATACAGATTGTCCTGCTGAATAATTCAGACCGGACCGGATGTTCCCTTTTTTAAGAAGTGTCTAACCTCACATCCAAGAATAGTGGAGCGCACATAAATTGTTTCTGTGTGCACTGGCCAGTCCATTGTTAACATACAAAAACACTGATTTCTTTTTATAAGCCCATCTTGATCTGAACAAGAATTTGATCCCAGCAGTCTGTTGAGGCCTCTTTGTCAAAATTCACTAATTAACACAGAAAATGTATCACAGATAATGACACGGTTGAACAAGATCATTGGAATCACTTTCAGAATGAAGAACATATAAAGCATTGACGGCCAATCAGAATCCATCTGACATTAAAGAGATCAAGCATTTAAAGCAGCAGGAGACATAACTGCAGTGTGTGCTTATAATAAACAGAACGTTACCGTACATTAGTGTGGACGCTAATATAGTTACTGTCATCTTAATGGTTCGTTTTTGGTGTGAACAGGCCTTTAGTCATATTTTTACAGCTTCACAATTCCAGAGACTGTCATTGTAATGGAAAAACTGCTTAAGACATTGTTAAAAATCTTCTAGTGTTACACAGAAGAAAGAAAGTCATTACAGGTTTGAAATTACATGAGGGGGACTAAATGATGACTGAACTTTCATTTTTGGGTGAACGGTCCCTTTAAAGCATTGACTCAGCTGAGTAAGACAAACAAACAATGTGTGAGATAGCTTGCAGCTATTCTTTATTATGAACTCTCACATTTGTGTTGTTCCAATTTCTTTTCACCCATCCATGCTGTATGGGGCGACTTTCCATCTGTTTGTTTGTTTAAGGATGAGCCATGTGATGTCTGACTGCCAACTGTTACAAACCAGGAATGATTGATCACTTGTTTCCGGCTCATCTGAAACACTGTATATCGCCAGATGACTTTTCTCATGACCAGATCCCTTTTATATCTAAGTGTCTCCTGTAAAAAGTAACTCACTTCCTTTTACATGTAATGCAACAGCTTCTAGTGCTCTGATTGGCCCGGATATCTTTGTCAGCTAAACCTTCTGTTGACCCATAAACAACCCCATTTCCTCAGTTAACACTGTCAGAGTATCCAAATGACAACTGCAAATTTGCAGGCAGTCTAAAAATCCCAGTGTGGCACAGTAATAAAACTGTTGTATGCTATATCCCTATTTTCAGGCAATATTGCTACAATCAAGCAACTGAGCATAAGATGAGCTGTCAGTCATTTGTAAATATAACTCTCATGCTGCTGTCACCAAAACAATGTCCAGATAATCACTCAGATCCTAAAAAAAGAAACAGGCCTAAGCCGGTAACAATGCAGTGCTTTCTTAAATACTAATTACATTCATATAGAAATACTGCAACTAGGCCTTGTATCTTAACAAAAATGAACCTAGTAATCATAATTTCCACTTAAATGTCCTGGTTATTATTGTAAAGTCATAATGAACTATTATGATTATGGGAGGTCCTTCAAATGTTAATAAGCATGTTTCAGAATACGCATGTGGTTTTTATGGCATTTGTGTCTAGTATAAGTTATCAATAATGCATGAACTTTATCATAAATAAATGTATTATGATTATAATTACTGAGTGTTTATTTAATAATTCCCATTCTTCTATACTTGGTGCAATGTCACTTTCACATCAGCCATGCTGAAATTGTTATCAGAAATAAACAATTAAAATGTCATACAAAGAGGACAGTTAGTCTACGTAAAATTATTGGTGATTTGTCAGTAATGTCACGCCCAAAATGGTTAAAATGGCTTTTAAAGTTGTGTCTACTGTGTATAGGGAGTTAAACACCTGGTGGAAACTGGACACCATGGTAAATTTTGGTTAGGATAGGATTATATTCCAACATATTACAGGGTAGATCAACACTGGGGCATTACATAGCAAAATATTCTTTAGTAACTGCCTACAATGTATTCACTTTGACATTGCATGTCTACATCTGATCTTTAAGAGCAACTACCCCCGATATTAAAGCATAGCATCAATGCCATGTGCCTCAACACTACGGCTGTGAGTCAAACCTAGTAAGCCGCCTACCTAGACAGCATCACAGGCGGCCAAAACTGCAGCACGCTGCTGATATGCCTCGAAAACGCAGTCTAAGTAGTCAGCTCACTAAGTTTTGAGACACACCCGATGTAAACACAGTTATAACTCGTTTAAACACGGTTGATCTTGCGTCTTCGAGGGAAGCAACAAACTAAGTGTTTGCGTAAACAGGCCCAACTGTCCTATGTAGTAAAGAGTTGTAATGCGCTTGTGTTCTTACGCGTAAAGGCCCGTGTATATATATCCAGCTTTTGTTTTGGCCGGCTGTTTTTCCCCACTTCAGCCTGTGGGCCTACCACTATTATCCGTCTCCTATAATCTCAGCTAACCAGTTTAATTTAGAAAAGCCATCGAAACGTAGATCCCAACCTACTGTTGCTTCACGTAAATAACAGAGAAATATTAAAGCACCTTTTGTGGCTCGTTAAGCTTGGAACAATGGTTGTGTTTATACAATCCGACACAAAGTAGACCTGACAAGAAACAAAATATAGCGACTTAAAAGAGACATAACACCGGATTTAGTGTTGCCTTTACATTACTGAACGTGTTTTACAGACTGACAACCGATTAGAAGAGCTAAACTCATGTGTATGATTGCGGAAGCTCGGCCTCTTCTACTAACAACACTTATAATCTTCCATGATTTAAGATGTTTAGGAGTAAAAACGCACGATTATTTACATCGACATGTCAATCTGCAAAATAAACAGTGGCTACTCGCCTCAAAGCGACTCCGAGAGACGCCGTTCACCTCCTTACCCATCCTGAACGCTGTACAGTCGGTCAACCGGAGAAGAAACGCGCGTCCGGTTATTAAAAGGTGGCAGATGCGTCGGTGCCGTTGGTTTCCGTCGAGCTCATGCCGTGTTTTCGCTTAATTTCCTCGCGTTTGTATATGGCGAAAATGCAGAAGAGCCCCAGTGGTTGAAGAATGAACAAATCAAGCTTATCTCCTGCTGTGTTGCGGATCACCCCTCCTCCCCTTTACCACGACTAGATCTCAGACAGTTCCCCCATCTGAAAACTACACCTTATAGTCAATATTGTTCATAAATACTGTCCATACGCATTTGTCAGACTGAATTAATTTTTAGTACTTTAAAGCTATGTGTGGTAGTAACCGCAATAAAAGTCTAAAGTTATTGTCTGTGGACAACGTTCAACGTCTTAAAGGTCGAATTTAAGTCATTTTTGATCAAATATTACCAATTGTGTAGATGTCATATTACCAAGCTTGAAATAGTATCCATTTATTAAAAAATATGTGAGCATCATTTCAGATGAATTTAATGCATTATTTATAGTTTGACACTAAAAGTTTGTTTGTTTGGCGTGCTGAGGATATTAAGACATTTCTATGGGTCAATGTGTGCAGAGTACTTGTGAAAAGTGCAATATTTTGTGTACATACTGCAAATAATTTGTTTTCTTGTTATTGTTATGCTCGTTTCCGGGTTTGATGCGTTAGCCCCGCCTCCGGCGGTCGTAGCCAATAAAAACCCAAAGATGGTCTTCGTCATTTGACGTAATCGTGGTGGTAACACGAGGCAGCGTTTTCCCAAACAAACGACACGGAATGGTTCAGCAACACGGTTACACATATCAAATTAAAGTCATGTCAGAGAAAATAAGTTAAGAAAATCCTAAATATTTTTATTACTATTATATTCACAATAATACATTTCAGCTCTTTACAATGTATTTATGTGCAGAACTGTAAACAAATATTGGTCAAATGGAATGCTTTAGTAAACTGAAGTCTTGCACATCTTCTAGATTTTATTTCAGACACAAATGTAGAGAACTACCTCCTGACTATACAACTTCATCTGTTCCACCTTTATTTGACCCTCTAACTCTAACACTTTCTATTCTATTTTAATTCTACTTTATCTATATTTATCTTTTTTTATTTTTTTTATTCTTTATTTAAAAAAAACAACAAAAAACAAACACTAGCTTTCTATTTTTTCTATTCTATCTACTTGTTTTTCTTTGTTTGTGTGTGTGTGTGTGTGTGTGTGTGATATATATATATACACACACCTTGCTACGTGTACTGCGTTAGACTAACCGAGACTTGTCATTTGCACTTATATATATCATTGCTCCTTTGTTAGATTTGACTGCTTTTATTGTCCTCATTTGTAAGTCACTTTGGATAAAAGCGTCTGCTAAATGACTAAATAAATAAATCTATCTATCTATCTATCTATCTATATGTGTGTGTGTGTGTAGAGAGAGAGAGATTATTACAAAAAAAATCCTCTTATCAATACAGAATATTAAAACTTGAAGTCTGAAATCTTCATTTGTGTAGAAAAAACTATAATCAAAATATACTAAATATACAAATGATTAACATATGTGATGTAATGCTATATGTGTGTGTGTGTGTAGAGAGAGAGAGATTATTACAAAAAAAAATCCTCTTATCAATACAGAATATTAAAACTTGAAGTCTGAAATCTTCATTTGTGTAGAAAAAACTATAATCAAAATATACTAAATATACAAATGATTAACATATGTGATGTAATGGGAAACTATTCAGTTCATGATGGCCTTTATGGCGTTTTAATTTAGAAAAAAAAACATGCAACATATAAACTGAACAGAATGCGGGGTAAAAAAAAAAAACCATGATACACATTCAAATCACAACAAAATAATTACTTTCTCTGTTTCAGTACTTTGTTTCTGTAATGTTGTAACAAAGGATTTCGCTTTATAAATGCAACAGCCTTTAAAATACTTTTTAGGCTAATGTAAATACTAAAGCTCACTATAAGACATTTCTCAACATCAGCTGTAAAAACCTAGCTGCGCTAGAGACTGGGAACACATTCTGACGTCATCTACGCGCGACGTAAACATGTGAAAATACCGAGCTCTTTGGAAAATACAAGGATATCTACATCAAATTAATCAACTACAAATCCGGCATACATTCACCGCTGACGAATGCTTACGAAGGTGAAATTATACTGTATTAAATTTTGTTATTGCACAAGACTAAGACAACTATAATTTTTGCATAATTAATTTATTAATGTACAACTTTAGTTTTTCGGTCCATTGTTGTTATACTATTCATGGAAATTCATTATGTTGTTGTAATTTAAAGGACGCATTCTCTGTATTCATACGCGACGAGTGTAAAATTGGCATAAACACTTAAATGCTTCTTGCTTATAGGTTGATATCACAGGTTTGCTCAGAAATTACATACATGTACATATACATATGTAGCTGTTTTTTGGTATGTAACTAACGTTTAACACGCTAAAGAAGAGTCTGTAACTTTACATCTGCTACAATAAAATAATAAAGTCGGTAATTAATTTGTGTTTTGTCATATATTATTACAATTATTAAATGATCATTACATACAAAATCGAATAAAATTGTATAATGCACATTTAAACCATAGGAATTAAAATGCGAAATTAAAGAAATTAAAAAGTGAAGCGCGACTGAAGGCGGGATACAGTTGCTTGCTTTTGATTGGCTGTCGCCTAGTTACCATGCAGATTGACAGCGATCATGTTCTAAAGAAGCAACGAGCAAGAAGCGATTTAATAACTTTATTTGTTTACAGTTTTGTTTACTACTTTCATACAAAATATTAAAGTATTTCTGTGAAAATCCGTTATCCAGGAGGAAACCGAGCGAAGCGGCGCAGGCTGTGGTATTTCCCTTTCCGTGGGACGGGCTATAACCGTGCGTGCGCAGAAGAGGCTGCGCATAATTTTGGCTGTAATGGATGAAGTGAATTCTCTCTGAATTCAGGGCCGTGGAGGGTTTTATATCCACGAACATCGCCCAATTTCTAGGTCTGGTTGCTTCCCAGAGCCGCTCAAGTGAACTGGAATCAATTTTAACACATAAATATGTGATCATTTCCGATGAATATGAAACTACAGAGCGTTTACACTGAACATTAAAGCGAATATGTGAACAAGAAGCAAGCGGGTCAAGTTTTATTTTCAGTTATGTGGGACAATATCCCTACACAGCGAGCTTTACTGCTTCAAAGCTCAGAAACCGTGTGCAAGGAGAGCTAAACGTCTGTTTAGGCTTTGATATCGAACAAGGATAAACAATCTAAAACAAGGACAGCCTGTATTTTTCTTCTTTCTTTTTGTCTTTTCGAGGAACGCTAGCTTAGCTAAAGCTAGCCGAGAAGCGCGAGCGCAATGCGCTGCTTGAGGCACCCTGGAAACGACCAGTGATGCCATCGTGAAGGACAAGATCGTTAAAAAAAATCTTTATTTTTGTTTTTGGCTTTATACTCTTGGATCTATTTCGACGCGATTCGGAGAAGACACGGGACCGGGGATGACTTGTGGATAACCTCTGCGCGTCAAATAGCGTGCGCATCTTTGTTTTGCTTCACTCCGACTCTTCCGGCTGGCAAGATTTCACACTTTTACCCAACACTGAGCGATTTGTACTGTTCATGTGCTGTCTTGACCACTTAGGTCCGCGTCTCCGGAGGACAGAGGTATGCCTGGATCAGACCGCCTGCATGGGACCAAGAGGAAGGCTGAATCGCTCTACCATCAGCAGCAGCAGGCGGCCGGCGGGGAAGGCCAGCCTTTGCACGCGGGCTCCGGTAGGCATCCCACCAAGACGGCGAGCTCGTCCACTTCTTGCAAGTACAAACGAAACAAGTCCAAACACGAGGCCGAAACCGGCTCCGCGTGCGCTACAGCCGCGCCTCCAGCAGTGGGCGCCATCAAGCCTCTGGTGGAGTACGACGACATAAGCTCCGACTCGGACACGTTCCTGGACTCCCCCGCCACCGGGAAACCGGCGGAGGGCAGGGACGCAGAACGCTTAGAGCGGTCGGACTACGGTGAAGCGGGGGTTGCGAAAGAGAACAGGACTCATAAACACAAGCGCTCCCGGAAGAAATCCAAAGACCCGCATCGGGTCAGGGAGTCTGCGGAGAGGGCAGAGGGTGGCGGCTGCAGCAAGAAGAGCAGTAAAGACCGGGACAGAGCGAGCAAAGAGAGCCGCAAGAAGGCTAAGGAGAAGTCTAGCTCAGCTGCGTGCCTTGCATCCACATCCAGACGCTCAGGTGAGTCAGGTAGCAAAAGGCCCGGCGACTCTCTCTCATCAGGTGCGGTGCAGTCCGCTGTCAGTCTGAGCAGCAGCGCCTCCTCCGCCTCCTCCTCCATCAGTAAGGAAAGTGGCCGCTCGTCAAAATCGCGCAAAGACAAGCGGAGGAGCGAGGAGCATGAGGAGGAGCGGAGCCATCGGAAGGCCGCCAAGAGCCACAAGTCGAGCCCTAAAGGGAAGGGTCAGTCCAGGAGAAGCGCAGCGGACAGTCCTTCCGCTGCGGAACTCGAGAACAGCTGCTCCTCCAAGCGCAGGGCTGCGAGCCCCAGTCCGTACAGGGAGCCTCCCAGGCGGAGCAGACAGAGGTCCGAGAGCCCTTATCGGAGGAGGAGGTCCGAGAGCCCCGAGAAGGATGGAAGTCCGTATGTGAGCAGAAAACACTCACCTGGCAGTCCTTACGGCAACCGACGCTCATCCAGCACCAGTCCAGTGTCCAGGTGAGAAAGCACGCAAACACACACAGATCAGACAGTCCATGTGCATCATTTAGTCACTCCAGAGGTTTTTGGACACATAGGAAGGTTATATTGCATTGGAAAAGTCAAACCCAGTGACCGTGTTGGGCAGGTTACTTTGGAAATGTAATAGGTTACGGATTACAAGTTGCTCTATCTAAAATGTAATAAGTAGTGTAACTACTTCAATTACTTTATTGATGTAATTGATTACTAATGTTTTCAACTATTAATCATTTTCAAACATGTGAACCAGGCAGGGTTAACCTTACAGTATTACTCAACACTGATGTCTGTCACTTTTGAAATCCTTCAGCTCTTGAATTAAGATTGTAATAATTTAATTTTAAAGCACAGCCGCCACAAAAATAGACGTTGGCACCTCTTTTTACTTTGAGATCATTCTGAGGTTGAATACAGATTTAAAGCCATAACAAGAAACTGTTTAATAGCTATGATACTGTTTTTGAAATCAAATCTTTGCATATCTGTGACAGGAAACACTGGTATCTAAACAATGCTCTGGAAAGACAGTTAACCTGAAAAATAAAGCACATACATAAACCCAAATAGGAAATAAATCGGTTATCTAATAATAAGCATGTGTCCTATTCTGTGTCTTAGACTCCTGAAACATTGGTGTCTCATATTTTAGAGCAGTCAATGCAATTTATGAAAGAAATCAATTAAATCTTTTTATATGGGTGTGTGAAAAATATTCAGATGTTAACCCCCTTTGTAATCGTTAACATTTTCATAAGTAACTGTAATTTAATTACATATTTTTTCTTAGTAACTAACTGATTACAGTTACATTTATTTTGTAAATAAATTACGTAATTTAGTTACATGTAACTAGTTACTCCCTGACACTGCCCACTGATGCTTATTTAATAAGAGAGGGTGAATTTGCAGGCTAGATTTCATGCATCTGCTAAATGTATTTTTTTTAAATAAGGTCTAGCATTTGTTTGCCAAAACTGCAAAAGCAATGAAATGAATCCGCTTTAAATGGGACCTCGGTGTCCAGATTATAAAAGTGTTTAGTAACTTTATGCACATAATATTGTTTCAAGTAATAGGCTGATAGGTAAGTTAGTTAAGTCATTATAGACTGTTTACATTGTGCTAAATGATTTTCATTTCATAATTCTTCATTTTTTTTTGTTTCCTTTAAAGTTGTATTTTATTTTTGGATTTTTTATTTTAGATTTTTTATTTATTTTTAACTGACCAGTGTTTTAATATATCAGTGTTGTATTTGGGTTAGTTTTAACTTAATATGATTATCTATGTTAGGTGGAAATCATACTGTCCATCAGTGTTTATTATACAAATTATCATTTTAAGCATTGCACTAATTTCTATGCTTTATTGAAACGACTTTATTTTGTGTCACAATATAACAATTAAATATTAATCATAGAAGATTAATGTATTTTACCTGTGTAAAAAAGTTATAGTAGGGATGGGTCATGATTTTCGAGTATTCAATTAGTTGATTTAATTATAGAATATCGAATAGGTTGTGCGATTATTGTCTTAAAAAATCTCCCCATGTTTTCCATGCTGATGCGGTGGTGACGCGTTCATGTAAGCAGAGGGTGGCGCTGCCAACAACGCACCTAAAAGCTGTCAAAGACAACAGAAGAACACATTGTCTCACGCGCACACTTGTGTGGCATATAAAAAAGACTTGCGTAGCATATAATTATAATATGGTTACAGTAACGTGGGACGATGTCAAATAAGAGTTCTGTGTGGACCACAAACACCCCAGACTGGGTTAGAGGTGTGGCTGAATCCGTATTCAGAAAGGCGCGGAAAACAAATAAAGCGTTCTACGGAGCCACTAAAGGGACATGGTTAGCCGCTTGCTAACGGTAGCCTGTTACATTACCGTACATAACATTTCACTTACCACAAAAACAGAGTAAGGAGAGATGACTGACAGGATGATGGCGAATGATTTGCAGATCCTGAGCATAGGGATGCAGCGATTAACCGGTTTCACAATTAACCTGTGCTTTAAAATGTCACGGTTAATCGTAAAGGCTCCGCTACACCGAGTGTTTCTGTTGCATGGGCGGAACTGTTGCAACTTGCGCAAAACGAAAACAAAGTTACACTAGCGGTGCACAAGCTTAAAATGCTGTGCTTATCAGAGACACGGAGGCTACTACACAATATGGATGACAGTTGATTACAATGATAGTTCAGCTTATTCCCCTCATTATTAATCGTTTCCCCTGTGGGATAAATAAAGTTAATAGTCCTATATTAATAATACTTATTAACATTGTTATATATTATCCCTTTTATAGTATTATTGCCCACTTCAGATCAGACAGATGAAATAGTGTGGTAAGATCACATTTATTTGAGTTAATTAATTATAACATTTAGCTACTTGAATTAATTATTCGATCGAGAGAAAGAGAGAAGTGTGTGTGTGAACCTGCGTCAGCGCGTCTCTCTACAAACATGTGAGTTTAGCTATTTAAACAGTGATTTTACCCTCTCCTTGCTGATGAATATGTAGCAATTCAGTATCTAAGCTATTTTATTAATAAAAGTCACTGGGCAGGGTTCACAACAAGTTTGTGTCCTCCTGAATGTTTGTATGTGTGCGCAGAGCGATCTCCGATCTCACAAACCAAAATAATAGACATGATTTTCTCAGGCCACATGTAAAATCATATGAATTATTATAAAAATTATTGAAATGAATACATATGGATGACAGTTGATTACAATGATAGTTCAGCTTATTCCCCTCATTATTAATCGTTTCCCCTGTGGGATAAATAAAGTTAATAGTCCTATATTAATAATACTTATTAACATTGTTATATATTATCCCTTTTATATGCATAAGTCAAAAACCAACAATATTTTTTTTTTCACCATGTTTCCAGTTTTCAAAAGAACTTCTGTGTTTTAGCATGTCTAATTATTTGAATGCATAAAACAACTTAATTTTTATTTATTTTTTTTTCCTTAAAGTAGGCTTATGAATTTTTTTTCCCCTCAGAAATTCTGTGTTGTGTATTTACATTTTTCTGGTTATCAAATGAAGGCATAAAACATTAATTTAATTGATAATTTATCTTTTAATTATTGAAAATTAAGCAAACTAGATTTTTTAATTTTACTATTAAAATTAAAACATGGAATAAATGTTTTGTGTGATTATTCCTTAAAAAATAATGTTTGTTTTATTTTATTATTTATTATTATACTTTTATTTTGACGGGTTGCCGTGAATACCTTTACAGTTCTGTGTATGAGATATGACGCTAGTTTTACTCAAATCAAACGCTAAAATGCTCATTAAGTGACTCTCAGAGCAGTTCTGGAGATGTTGTTCATGTGTTTACGTCCTCATTTAGTGAGACGGCAGACGCTGAAATCACCGCGAGTGTCACACGCGCTTCAGTGTGTGTGTAGTAAATGAAAGACCTTTTTCACATTTCCGGGTTTCTCAGCAGCGGAAGTCGTCATAGTTGGGTTAACTTAAATAGCAGTGAATGGGAGAGTACTACAAATATTTTTTTTGTTTTCCCATTTGCTCAAATAGCAAAAGAAAAACTCCACGATAGTGTTTTCATGACTTTCAATAAAAGGAAAAAAATTGAGATAGACTGATAACGGCTGTCAGAAGACAGAACAATGTCAAATATACCGTCCCTCCCATTGACGCTGCATTAGAAACAACCGCACATTAGCATTAACTGTTTTTTTTGTAATTTGATGCAAAGGTGATATAATACAAAGAATAGTGTTATAAATGTACATAAAAAAAAAATAATACAAATATGAAAAACTTTTGAGGATTTACGATGCTGATAACCGTTAAACGTGGCATCACAGACAGTCTTGTGAAAAGGGTCCATGGCTCCCTGATGCCCGCAGTTTATATACAGTGTAATTACCCAACGATATAATTGCGACAGAAGATATTGAAGTATATTTTTCCTCCCATCTCGTATCTGTTCCCTTTAGGGGTTCCATTTTTTGAAATGGAAATGTCCTAGTAGGGCTGTCGCGATAACCGCAATATCGCAATACCGCGCTATTGACGAGCAAACCGC